TTTATTAGTTTATTTTGCCGGTACTGAAACATTTCTTTCAATCAATTACTTGCATAAGCATGCCGAAGGCTACACAGTCGCGCACAAAGCATTTTGTGATGGGTCACCCGGCTCTACTGTCCCACCACCAACTGCCGACTACGGGAAGGCTTTGAGATAAGATGATGAGATGAGATAAGATGAGATGAGATGAGATAAGATGGCTGAGCGAATCGAAGAGGAATCTCACTAATACCATTTTCAAGACCGCGCAGGTAGAAATCAGGGAACTGTGAACAAACGTAGCGATCCTTGTTCATGATCTAAAATACGTGACAAAATTGATCGACAAGGATTTATATCATTCCAACAGAGCTATCAGCAAGAAATCAAAGAAAGAGAGTAACACAGCAACGCCGTCACCGCGAAATTCAACAAGCTTCTTGATGTCGCGAAATGCAAGTGCAAGTCTCGGCGCAGCTTTCCATGCCAAATTGTCTGCACAGTGTATCAGAAGGAGGTTGCCATGAAGGACCAGTGCAGGCGCCGCAAGCTTGCCCTGGGGTCATGTGACCGGGATACGACTGTGACTAGGGAGGCTTGCGAGGTGCGGGGGATGGCCAGACAACCGTTGGGGCGTCATGGCTTGGCCGCCAGTGAGGCGGTGTCTGCTGCTGAACCTGAATCGCCTTCCTAGCCGACTGCTGAGACCACGCCGCCTGCTAAGCCAGTGCTGGCTGCTAGTGCTGAACTCAAGCCTGCTCCGGGACCAAGTAGTCTCAACGCTGGCGGCTCAGCCGAGAGCACGGATTCCTACATGGTTCCGTACATGGTAGAAGGTGGCGACTTGTTTTGTAGAACGCTGATTGTTCGTTCCTGTTGAAACCATTGTCATTGTAGATTGTAACATTAACGATCTAACACCGTTCAGGCGGCTGACAGCTACGGTAGCCCGAACCGAGCCGCTGCTGCTATCATTAATGCCTTTCAACAAGACTGCAGAGACGAACTGGCTACTTGAAATCAAATATCATAGATCCCAAGAAGATACGCTACGCAAGAGACAGAGCGAGAAAGGAGACGGCTCGTCAAAATGCTTTAGCAATCCACGAATCAGGTTTGACCATCCTCTACTCTGACGGCCGGGAAAGCAGGAGCTACATGAGTCACACGGAGCCAAGCGAATGCCGTCGAAAAACACGTGGTTGTCATCCCTGAGCCAGGCAGCCGTTGCGTGACTCATTTTACGTCCGGGTTCGGCCGCACCCTGCACTTGCTCAACGAGCTACACTCCGTGAGCCCGCAGTGCGACGATCACATCAATGTGCGCGGCTGCGATGGCACGGCTGTCAGCACCGAGACGATAGGCGACGTATTTCGGCTGTTTGAGCTGGCCACCGAGTCACCCGTACAATGGTTCATCTGCCAGCTGCACGTGCTGAACCTCCTCCATCTGCTGCGGAGCTTGGACGGCACGACCACGGGATCCCATTTTTTTTTTTTACCCATCGGCAAGACCTGCGCCGGAGAGGTCTGAGAGAGAGAAGGACGCTCAACGTTCAGGAGTTGGCATTCAAGCCTATGCCGGGGCACATGCCAAACATGCCGGCTGGCCTGATTCAGCAACTGAGCACCAACTGGCAACTGCTCTACCTTCTGGCCTCCGGCGTTCAAAACGGCTGTCCGAAACGTGGCAGCCCAGCGGCGAATCGGACCATAGAACCATGCCAGGTAAATCTGAAAACGCATTTTCTTCGAATTTATAGTAATGAGTGTTTAAGCTTCATCAAGTATTAATTGATATTTCATGTGATCACTGTTGAGCATTTACTTTTGCTCATACCTTGTGCCGTGTTATGTCGCACTATTTGCTCGTTGGTTCATGCTTACTAGTATATTTGTTAGTATTCATTCCGTCACATTTAAAGACCCTGGATATCGGCATAATTATATGCACTTCAGAGGCACAATGATTTTTGTATGATCTAACGCTCAGTTTGTAACGAATTGTTCCAATATATTCGCTTTTGCTTTCAGGATGGTTGACATTGGCCGCTCGCCTGCTCCTAGTTTACATCTCTATCGAAACCTCCAGCAGCGCTGTCGAGGGCCTCGTCCAGTGCGTGGTCGAGCACTATGCGGCGGTATGGTCTGCCATCCGGCAGAGCAGCAGCTGCGGCTTAGGCTTTCACAACTTGTTCCGGAGCATCGCGCTGCTCCGCGAGCTGCCGCAGCAAGCATAGGCCACGGCGCGGCCAGTTCTCCAGCGTAACAGGTACTAGGTCAGTCCGGAACAGCTGCTGCTGGACACGGTGTGGGATGAGAACCGCATGGTCCGCGAACAGGTGGTCCCGATCGTCGCACCGCTCTTGAGCAGCAAACCGAGGGTCTGCTTCAGCTCAGGGTCCTCGCCATCCCAGATTTAAACTTCAAGGCTGTGAGATACACCAACCTGATTCCCCTGGCACGGACCAGTCGCACAGCCTCCACCGCGAGACCCAGCGACTGCGAGCTGCGGAACAAACTGCGGGCTCCACCGGCAATCTCGCCCTATCTGGTTCACACAAGGAGTGCAACCAACGCCGCAGTGCCGAGGACGTCTGGGGCTGGAGCTGGAGTTTCGGCAATATGTGGAACCCAGTTGCGACGGTATTTCTGTTACCGTGCGATCTCCGCCAACACGTGTTTTGAGTCTCCAACCTGTGAGCAGCTGCTGTTTGGGCCGGTGCATCGAATACGCAGGCTCGGCAAGGAGCAAGATGTGCGTGGGGTCACCCTAACCCGCCCGCCCCCCTCTCTACGCCCGCGGTATAGGCCGCAGAACTTACTATATGTATTAAGTTGTATACCAGACAGTATATTCTGAGTCATGTGCTATGTATGGTTTTGTTTGCATCACGTGAGTTGTCTTAAAGAAGTGAAAGTCTAAGGCAATACTAACCGATATACTCGTACGAGCTCATACTCAACAGCACATAAAGTTTCCGCCATAGGGCAATCAATCGGACAATGTCTGATCCGCACATTAGACCTTAGACCGGGGTATTCTCGTACGACGGCTTAAGGAGCGCTCGGCGATATCGTTTCCATGCGCAAAAGCATTTTGTATCGCTTGCCGCCCGCAGCTTGGTGTTACCTGCAGCAGTAGGCGCAGCCTAGCATAAAGTGACTGCAACGCCGGGCGCTGCTTTATGACGTTATCTCGATCGGCTCGCGCATCACGAATTTAAGTGTTTGGGAAGAACTTTTGCTATGCCGTGTATTTTTGGACTCCTGCGCCAAAGAATTTATTTGTCTCACTTGGTTTTGTTACTGATGATACTCCCTAATGCATAAGCTATAAGCGCCTGACAAATGTGCTTTCTGGCCCCAGCTAGAGATTGAAGTGACTAATTAATTTAAGTAATGCATATAAAGCGAACCCACGAATTGCATCTGTGACCAGAAGTTTCAGCCCGCTCTTTCGCCCCGCGGATTTCAAGCAGGGTCACACAGAAGCTATCGTGGCATCAACTAGCCCCGCCCTGCTGAAGTGGCCTGCTGCATATGTCTGCGACATCTGGTCGGTTGCATGCGCGGGCACGGCGTGGGCGGGTGCACTCTGTCGTGATAAGTTTACCAGCTGGCCCGCCGTGGCATCCCGCTGGAAAGCAGATGACTGTGGCAGGGAGTTGGAACGGCTCGTATCGGGCAGCGAGCGTGACATTTTCAAGGCATATCAAAGTCTTCACTTATCTTGAGCTGTGCAGAAG